CTGCCCTGGGCAGCGCGTTTCTCCCAGGAGCCACAGTGGTGGCTGTGCCCTGGGGAGGAGGGTGGCTATGATGCCTCCTGGGACTGGTGGCTGTGTGGGTCTAGAAGCCCAGGCCGAAAACGCCCTCCTCCCTCCTGTCCCATGGGGTCACGGTATTTTTCACAGTGCAACGCAAGGGGCTGAGCCAGGGTGCGGAACCGCGGAGCACCCAAGCCGCTCCACCCTTGTCAGGAAGCATCTGAGGCTCGACTGCTGGTCTGAGGCCTCCCTGTCAGGAGACGCCAAGAAAGCACTTGGTGGGACTGTCACATCTGGAAAGCTGGCTGGGGCCGTCTCCCCCACACAACATTCTCTCCCCCACCCTGCCTCTGCAGGGATTGCTGGGAGCTGCTGGAACCACTCACCAGAGGGGACTATGTGGGGGAGCGAGGGTGTCTCCATGCGATTTCTCCAAGACAGTTCATCATGAGAAGCCAGAACAGCTAGTGGCTCCTAGCCCAGGACACTGAATGACGTTCCCGATTTCCTTCTTTCATCTTCCCTCCCTTCAGACATGGAACCCAGCCTCCTCTCCTACCTAACTTCAGATCCTTCCCTATCAGCACCGCTAATTAATCTCCGAGTCAGTGCAAATAACATTGGCTTCTCGGCCAAATTCTTTCCGTATCTCTCAGACATATATGCGAACGACAGGTAGGATACACTCACTCATGACATAAAGCGCACGCGCGCACACGCCCACGCGCACACACACACACACACACACACACATTTAGATCCAACAGAGCCGGTGTTCAGGGAATCCCAGCACTCCCACCCACACGTGTGTAGCACTACAGCCATCACTAACGCAGTCAGGTACACCTGTTCGAACTGACTCTGGCAGCTGGGGAGAGTCCTGCGGGAAGGGTGGGGCAGGGAGCGAGGTGGCGCTCCTGCATCCGCAGCACCGAAGCCTAAAACTCTTCCGGCAGGGGTGCCTCGTGCTCCCTCTTCACAAGCCACTTGGTTCAAATTAGTGGAGCCCGCCAACACCCCACGGTGGACCGCCATACTCCTATGGGCCGGGGCCTGGCCTCACTAAGAGCCCGGGTCCCCACAGTTCCAGACTCTCAGCTCCTGCGAGCGCCTCTGGGCACTGGGAGACCGCGGAGCCAGCGCGAGAGCTGTTTCTGTTGGCAACACAGATGTATTTCTTTTATTTGGTAGTAAATAGAGCGGGTGTGTGTACATCAAACAACAGCAAGATAGATATAAACAGCACCTCCCGCCACTGGACGCTCACTCTTTGCCTGGAGGTCCCCTTGGTCGGCTCCCGACACCAGAGCCGGAGGCCACGCGCGAGAAGTCCAGTGCGCTCTCCTCTCCCCGCTCCCAGCGCGCGCTGGAGGGTAGAGCTGGGAGAAAGAGGAGGAGGCAAGAAGGTCGGTGGGGTTTGTTTTCTCTTCTGCTGGGCCACCTAGGGCCTGGGCGATGGAGGGGGGAGCCAGAACAATGGGGTCCCACAGGGCTGCGCAGCTTTGGCGGGGCCTCGCGTTGCTTGACTTCCCCGGGCGGGGGGCCAAGCGTTCCTGCTTCAGCCCCTCCGTGCGCGCAGGGTACCTAACTTCCCTCGAGAGGCCCTGCGGGGCCGCAGACTTTGCCGGGCACGGCCTTGCCCGCCTCCAAGACTCCATTTTGCCCCACCTCTCGCGGTTTTCCACGCCCCGCGGCCCAGCGACCTATCCTGAGGGCCGTTTCCCCTTAGCGATCCAAACTTAGACTCCGTAGAGATGCTAGGAAAAGACCTTCCTTACTTGGTCACCCCAACGGGGTCAGGGTGCAAGAACCATGAGCCCCACAGAAATCCCTGCCTGGGGTCCGAAGCGTAGCTGGGCAGGCCCGGGGGACATCGCCCCACCGGGCACGTACGCGTGGCCCCGCAGAGGTGACCTGCGCGGCTCCTCCTTCCGGCGTCCCGCCCACTCTGCCGGCTACCCCGCCCTGCCTGTAGACCCTCCCAGGCTTTGGGGTACGGTACGAGCGATCTGTGCTTACACATCTGGAAGTGTGCACGCTGGTGTGCGCCCGTGCGCCCGTCTGGGTGTGCAGGGCAGGTGTTCACTCTTTGACCTACAAACGATTGTGGAGTGGGTGGGTGGCTGAAGAGACAAAAGGGCCGCGAAGGTAACTAGGCCGGCTGTACTTTGAAGCCTTTCCTGGTGCCTGCGACCCGGGTCTTTGAGTTGGGACTTGGGCTGCACTTGTCCCCGGGTGCGCCTCTCCTGCGGAAGTACCCTGAAGGCTTATCAGGTGGGGAGCGGCGGCTTCTGGGAAATCGGGTCTCAGATGGCAATGCAGCCCTAGCCTCCACTAGGACCCGTTTATCCTCCTGGGATTTCTTCCCACCCTTCTGCCTCCAGGATCCCGGAGACCTTCGCTCGAGTGTCCTGGCAGTTTTCAGAGACGCGAGCAAGGATAGCTGGAGGCTGCGTGCCTCTGCGTCGAGTTCCCAGACGGTGCGCACTGGTCGTACTACCCAGGTCCCTTCTTTGGCCGCGGCTGCAGGCGATGTGTCTCCGGGGTGAAACTGCACCAAATTTGGGTGGTCGGGGTTCCCAAAGGATCCCTTCTGGTGCAGTGGACCGAGAGGAAAATGGGCTGGGGGAGAAGTGTAGAGCCAGCGAGTGGGAGAGCTTCGAGAGCGCGTTGGGCCCATCACTTAGCCAGGAGCGGTGAGGTGGAGTCACCTGGTGTGCCTCACCCCAGCGCTAGTGTCTTAAAGGAATGGAAAGAATCCCCTTCTCTTGAGCTTTTTCGCTGCCCTCGCCCCCTTGGTGATGGAGTGCACGCATCAGATTTTCATCAAAGTTCTATTAAGTGAAACATAGGTTGCAGGGCACCCTTTGATTGAAACAGTTTAAATTTTAATTGTGTTTTTAATTTGACATATAGTTGCAGAAAGGAATGACACTGCGTCGCCAAGGGGCGGTCGATTTTCTTAATTTCTCCCAGAGGAATTGATGAGTCTATCAGGCCACTAGATTGGAAACCCATTAAAGCTCTCTGGTTAGGCTGTTAATTGGAACTTGATGGATGGGGGGCGGGGGGGGGGGACTGTCGGGACTCGGCTATGCTGATCCAATCTTCATGACTTTCTGTTTTCCAATAAATTACACAATTCATTTTCCAGCCGCAGATTACATAAATTGTACACCTCTGGGGCTCTCTTTTTCAAATAGGGATCCCTTTTCCCCAAAAGCCTATTGCAAGATGTCATTTGCACCATAGAACGAACAGCAGAGGCTCTTGAATGAAAATCGAAACATAATCAACGTTTATACTTAGAAAATTTATTGAGATCATTTTCTCTGGTATTTCCTTATTTTAAAGTTTGGACGCGCCATATATCATAATCCACTGGCGTAAGAGGGGGGGTCAGACTGTGTTTAATATTTATCGAAGCTTGATTCCAAGATCAAACTTGTTTATGACTTCATCTGTCATTTCGGAGAGAGCCTTCTTCCACTATTACCGGGCTCAGCCAGCCTATTTCCCAACTGCCGCAGAGCAGAGAGGATCAATTTTTATTAGGCTCCTCGCAAGTTTGCTGTGGGCCACTTTAATATTGAGCAGTGGCGTAATCTCCAGACCTAAACTTTAAGCGTCCTTTCAGTCTCAGAAAGTTTACTATTCCTAAACCCGTTATGCCTAATTCCTGGGGTGGGGGCAATCTCAAAGGTAGGGCTGTTAATCTGAATAGAGTAGAGTCGGGAGGGGCGGGGCTCTCCCGAGACTAGGAGGGTGGGGCACAAGGTGGTATTGAGTTGAAGGACTGCCACACTTAAGGGCAGAGAGACTGGGTGTCTGTGGGTGGTGGTTCTAGGAGGGTGGGGGTGGGGGTTCCTGAGAGTGCATTTTGCAGCTGCCCAGGGCCCAGGAGTGAGTGTCTGGGTGAAGTGTCTGCGATTTCGGTGAAGTCTCCGGGAGCCCCAAATGCCCCAAAGGAACGGTGGACATCTGGCTCCATGCTGTGACTGCTGTCGGTGTATGAGGGACGGTAGACCCCGCAGTTGACCAGTTGGCAGTGGAGGAGAAGCGAGGGGATGGTCTGTTGGGTTGCGGAGGCAGGTGTCTCCCCAGTCTCAGTCAGAGGCTTCCAGCCTCCACCCTGTGCCATCGCTTCCCTGGTTTAGTGTAGTGTGTGTGTGGCGCACACTAGTTGGAACTCAGTGGACATTTGCTGACTGTGTGTGAGTGTGTAAGCGTTTATGCAAGTGTGTGCTGTTGCTTAAAGCATGAGCTTCTGAAGATGTGTGGGGTGTGGGGTGGAGAGGCTCGCAGGGCTGGGTTGTAGCGCACCTGTGTACAAGGGAAGGTCAACGCCAGTGGGAGTGGCTAGCTGGCAAAGTAAGAGGCCGGAGGGCTCCCTTTGACTTTGAAAATAGCCTGGGGTGAAGGATGGGGGCGGGGAGGTTGTGGGGTCCCGAGGCTGCAGAGGCTGCTGTTTCCTAGTTTAGAGTCCTCAAGCCAGGATGCACGGGTCACCCCCTGTCCCTTACCACTCCCAGGCCTGGGAGCTGTTTCTCTGAGGCCCATCCCAGAGGCCGGGCAGCCACCTCGCATGGTCTCTGTCCTGGCAGAGGCCAATCTCTTGAGCCTTTGACCCCAAACACACATCCGCCCCCTACCTCCTGAGAGGGGGGCATTCCTCACGGTTTTTTTCGAAGCCACTCCCAAGCTCAAGGCCTGCTTCACCCCACGCCCCCTCCCAAGGGCCTGGTATGGGCAGTGGAACAACCTTGAGCTTCAATATTGCTTACTTGTTTGGCATGATCACTTTTTTTCTGAGCCCCAGTTTCCCCATCTGTGCATTGGGGACAAAGATCTGCCACAGGTTTGCTGTGAGGACTAGAGTGAAGAATGATGGGATGTTCCCCAGCGTGTTCCAGGTTGCCAGCACCTAGTATCTACTAACCCATAAGGGTTCAACCAACCTCCCCTACCCAACTCTCTCCTCCCCAGTGACAGGTCGCGTTGGCCAATTTCTTGCCGGGCCGCCTCGGCCTGGGCCTGAAGACGGCGCCCACTCAGGGTGCTTGCGGTAGGCGGAGAGGCCACAGGCCCAGGCCGGTGAGAATAGGGTGTTTCTTTCCAGGAACCTCCCCTCAACCCCCCAACTGTGCGGGAGCACGCAGGAGCGGCTGCGACGTGGCCCTGGAGCCTGCGCCTCGCCTCGCAGAGGAGGACGCACAAATTGTATTTCAGCGCCAGGTCCTTCCGGGTTAATGAGCTGACACCATGATTAAAGCTGACCATTTGTAATGTGTCTCGACCCGGCCGCTGAGCCCTGAAGAGGTTAATGCGGTGACGGAGGCCGGCACCTGCCCCTCGCCGGCCTCCCGGGCTGCGGCGCACAGCCCTTGGCCCCCGCCTCCTCCCGTGGCCCTGCCCCGGCTGCGCCCGCGACTCCTAATCAATTAGCCCATTAACGAGCCCTTGGAGGAGTTAAGTAGGGAGAGGTTCTGCCACGGGCAGGGCTGCGGTCGCTCAACTCACCGCGGCTAATGATATTATAAGCGCTCTACTGAATAACCCCGGCGGCGCGGGCAAGGAGGGACCCGAACTGCACCGTCATGGTGCAGCGTCTGGACATTTGTGGGGACTGATTCCAGAGTCTCCGCTCACTCTTGGCTGCATTTGGGGGCACCGTAGAGGCTTGGATTCCGGGATCTCTTGATCGATGGGTCCGTGGCTGCACAGCCAGGGGGTGGGGTGGCCTGAGCGCCTCGGGGCCTTGCCTCGCCTTCCTTTCCTTGAAGCTTGTGTAGACGGCTGTGCCCGCGAACCGTCTGGCCTCCGCCGGGCTGATTCTAGATCCGGTTAAAGCTGACCTGGGAGTTAAACAGGTGAGAGCCAGGGCTCCGAGGGGGCCGTGAGGACAAGCGAGGGAACCAGGTTTACTGAGCGCCTCACCAGGCTTCTGCAAGGCAGCATCGATTCCCCCAATTCTAGAAATGAGGAAACCGAGGCTCAGACCATTTAAGTACCCCGTTCGAAGTCACCCCGCCAAGGTGCAAATCGGTTTTGCTTAATTCTGAAACCTGCCCTCACCTCCTTCTCCCCTTCCTGAGAGCAAAGTGCTTCTACTTCTGCAGCGACTTCGTGACCTCCAGTATTTGCCAACAAACAAAACAAAACAATCCACAAGCATCACCTATGGAACAGGAGGGCCGGTGGTGGGTTATTCAGCAAAAGTCTGCCTAGTATCTACTATGAGCTCCTAGTGGTTTTAGGCTTTTGGGTGCTTTTGTATTTTTACTAAAGGCGATCCTCAAAACAGGGGAAGCCGGGAGATGCTAACGAGAAGTTCATTTCACGTATGAGGACAGTGACGCTCTGATTGGCACTGGAATTGTCCAAGTTTAAGCAGGGTGAAATGGTGGTGCTGGGACTCAATCCAGGATTTCTCGAAGCAAGATCTAGGGCTCTTCTTTCCTCCCCACCCCCAGCCAGCGATCATGATCCTGCGGCCCCGTTTGGACTGTGACAGGGGTGGGGTCTGGAAGAGCAGAAGTTGTCTGCTCCCGGCCTGGCCTCCCGACTAAGCTCCCAAGAATAGCATCAGTTCCAAGGCGCATGCTTCTAAACCCCCACTCCCCCGTGCTCGGCGCATCCGTTTGGGGACTCCCAGACCTACTTGCTCGCGGGTACGAGAAGAGGTGGGAGGTTGGGGGAGGGTCGTGTAGCAGCCTGTGAGAACTCTTCCAAGGGTACGAGGACCCGTCGCCCGAGGGCGTCGGGCCACACCAGCTCCAGCTTGGAGACCCGAGCAGTCCCTGTCCCTCGACAGGGCTGGGGTCCGAGCTGCCACAATGGCAGGAGCCTGGGCGGGAATCTATGCTGCTTTCGGCCCCGGCTGTCCCTGGGTAGACACAGCAGATACCTGCCTGGCCCTCGGCGCACTCCGGGGTGCACAGGCGCTGCTTACATTGCCTGAGCTTTTTGAAAATTTCCGGGGCCGCTCGGCGGCGCTGCGATTGGCCGCGTCCCTGTAACCTCTATGCAAATGAGGCCGCGCCACCTCTGCGCCGCTGGAGACCCAGCGAGCTGGTGGTGGTCAAAGAAGGGGCATTCGCGCTGGGGCTGGGCGGGCGTACCCAGAGCCCGGCGGGCAAGGACCCCCGCTCAGCCGTCCCGTGTCCGCATGTACCCCGCGCTGAGGGGACGTCTCGCCAGTTTCGTCGCCCCCTCCCCCTGACTCCCCTCCCCGCCTCCCCCCGCCCCCGCCTGCCTGCCTGTACCACCTTCCACCCAGATCGTCTCTAAAGGGAGTTCTTGGTTTCCTCCGATTTCTTATGAACCCAGGATGGGCAGCAAGGAAGATGCGGGCAAGGGGTGTCCGGCGGCCGGCGGCGTCTCCAGCTTCACCATTCAGTCCATCCTGGGCGGGGGCCCCTCGGAGGCGCCACGGGAACCCGCCGGCTGGCCGGCCAGGAAGCGCAGCCTGTCCGTGTCCTCGGAGGAGGAGGAGCCGGACGACGGCTGGAAGGCACCCGCCTGCTTCTGCCCAGACCCGCACGGCCCCAAGGAGCCCGGCCCCAAGCACCACCCCCCCATCCCCTTTCCTTGCCTGGGTAAGGATCGCACGCCGCCGGGGCGGCAGCACCAAGCTCTAGGGGAGGGAAGCTGTGCCGGGACTCGCGCGCGGGGCCCCCCTTTGGCCAGAGCCGCGGCCGCTCCGGTCCGGGTCTGAGGGGAGGAGACGCGCGCGGTGCTGCGTCCTCGGCCCGGCGGGCGCTCGGGAGGACACCGGGACGCGGTCCTGGGGAAGGCTGGGGTGAGGGAGAGTGTACCATAGCGGCTGGCACGGGGCGGGCCGCACATACGGCTCTGCCCTCCATATCCCCTATGCACGGGTGACACTTTCCCAACACGAGGTCTGGAAGTCGGGGCTGAGCTGTCCGTCGGTCTCTACTGCCTTGGAGAGTGAAGCCCTAGTTAAAACTCTACCCTCCTTGTACATAGGACCCTTCTGTCCAGAGATAGTGTTTTCACATGGTAATTATCCGTCTTCTCATGTGTTTAAATTTCTTGTTCATGATCTTTAAGAATGACATCTTAAAATATCTCTCTCTCTCTCTCTCCCTCTCTCTCTCTCTCTCCCTTTCTCCCTCTCTCTCCCTCCTCCTGCTCCTTCTCTGAATGATCAGCACTCCGAGTGATTGACAATGGTGCCTTTCAGAGATGGTTCCTCTTTACAACATCTGACGGAGGGGAGCCCCGCGTTAGCCCTTAGCATGATTTCCGAACAAACGGCCTGTGAAATGATGCCAGCCTATAAAGCTCGGAGAACTCTTCCAGCTCAGTTATTACAAGGCAAAATCACCTTTAAAAATGATGTTAATGTTCCCCCTCCAAACCTCCTCCCCCTTATTGCTAATTGTCCTTCCATGAAACTGGGAGCACAGAGACCCCGGACTAGAAGCAGCTGGATCTCTCTCCTGTTGCTTTTTAAAGGCCGAGGTGCTGGGCTTTGAGTTCCAGCGAGAGGGAGAAAAGGAAAGGGTTGGGACCAAGGCCGCGGCCTTCTGCCGGCTAGAGCTGGGGAGGGGGGGTGTCTCTAAGGCTCCCCAACTCCATGGCCTCCCTGTCTGTTCTCACTCCCCAGGTACCCCGAAGGGCGTCGGAGGCGCAGGGCCCGCGAGCTCGGAGCGCACGCCTTTCCTCTCTCCTGCGCACCCGGACTTTAAGGAAGAGAAAGAGAGGCTTCTGTCCGCGGGCTCGCCGTCGCCGAGGCCCGAGCGGCCGCGGGACGGCGGCGCGGAGCGGCAGGCGGGCGCCGCCAAGAAGAAGACGCGCACGGTCTTCTCGCGCAGCCAGGTGTACCAGCTCGAGTCCACCTTCGACATGAAGCGCTACCTGAGCAGCTCGGAGCGCGCCTGCCTCGCCTCCAGCCTGCAGCTCACCGAAACCCAGGTCAAGACTTGGTTCCAGAACCGCCGCAACAAGTGGAAGCGGCAGCTCTCGGCCGAGCTGGAGGCGGCCAACATGGCGCACGCGTCGGCGCAGACTCTGGTGGGAATGCCGCTGGTGTTCCGGGACAGCTCGCTGCTGCGCGTGCCCGTGCCGCGCTCCCTCGCCTTCCCGGCGCCGCTCTACTACCCCGGCAGCAACCTCTCGGCCTTACCGCTCTACAACCTCTACAACAAGCT